ATCGTTTGGGCCGACTACTTTTTTTTTCATTTTCTTTTCAATTTAAAATTATTTTTAATTCTTTTCTTTTTATGATAAAATTTAATTTTCTAATTTTAATTGTGTAATATTTATATTCTTTGTTAATTTCTTCAATCTAAAATTCTTTTTAATTCTTAATTTTCTATATTTTTTAATTTTTTAATTTTTGCTCGTAATTTGGTTCGCTTAATATTTTAAAATTATACTTATTCCATTATCAATTGTTGAATGTTCCAATATTTGAATTTTTACAGGATGGAGTATTATCTAGCTGTGGAGTTGAGACATAAGGCGGGAAAATGTACGTGAAACAGTAATTTTGACAATTTTACTACTATGTTGGAGTTGTTGGACGATGAGCACGCAGATATCATACTCTGATCCTTCCTGTGGCCCCTGAATCAGTTGAGAGAGGTACAATACTCCAGACAAATTATTGATGCGTTATTATGTCGCCTTTAAGGCCAGTCGACGGCGATGCCCTTCACTTCGACCTCGGGGACAAGGTCGCTACTTTCTCCCTATTTGAGATTGCCCTCGTGACTGGGTTGAGGATAGCATGCAATGAGTCAACTACGGAAGGTACCCAAAAAAGCAATAGGTTGCACAAGACGTATTTTCATGGATAGGGGACCGTGCTTCTATCGTAGTTGATTGGCACAATCAGGGAGTACGATGCCTTCAACAACTATCCGTGGGGTCAGAGATGTTTTGAGGACACCGTTCACGTCTTCACCAGATCACACTCGATACCTAAGGGGTCCACACGTAAGTTCGATACTTATGGATTGTTTTTGGCTGTGCAGGTAAATGTTTAATATAATCAACGTTAAAAATATGTTTTATACTGAATTTATATATAATAATTGTATGTGTTGCAAATATGGACATATGAGACTGTCATCCTCTGGGTACCTGGTTTGCTAGGCGAGGGGAGACACGTTACCCCCTGATGCATCATTGACGAGCATCCACAGTAGACGGATGTCCATCTAGCAAACAGTTAGCAACCCTCATCGATGACCCTCAGGTGAGTGTTACACATTTGCGATTCTTATTGAAAGTCGTTTCAAAATTTCATCACTTGATAATTAACTAGTTGAATTGTCAATATGTCGGCTTGAAGTCCTAACTGAGTTGACGCTGTCGATGGCGGAAGAGGGTCGAGGTTTTGTCTGGGGATTAGCCGTTTCGCATACTCGACACGACCAGATGTCTGATTCCATCCTGGATTGAGATTGGGTATATGAATTGAATATAATTTATTGATTACTGTTTTGTATGAGTTAACCTAATTTAACTAAGTTAATAATTTTTAATATTGTTATTTGTGTAGGAGAACGATCCAGTTGATCGACGATCACCTCCGCTGATGGGATCACCTCTGCCAACAAGATCTCATTATCCTCCATCCAGATACCTCCCTTGTAGATGTCCTGCACACGGTCATAGTTAGTATTTTCATGATCTGTATGTTCGCCTGACAGGATTTATGGTGGAGGAGGTGGTATGGACATTACAATGAGATATGTGGAAGGAGGTAGGTGCACTACAAGAGAAGATAGGGGTGCTACGATGAGGAATGAGCGGCGAGGTTTCAAGTTTATGCCATGATGTTGCAATGCTACGAGGTCGTGTAGTAGAACTTCAAGATGAGGTCGTAGCGCTCCAAGGTGATATTGCAGGAATGCGCGGAGGTGATAGACGGGGTGACAAAGAGGGTGATGGAGATCGGGAGCACGCACCATTGTGGATAGATGATGACGCATTCAAATCATTTTTTTATCTGCGGAGTGGGAGGGGGTGGCCCCGATGGGACGGGAAAGGTGACGGAGGGGGTGGAGGGGCCCAGACGGACATGATTGCTGAGGAGGTGGCGGTGCCCAAGGTAGAAGGGGTGGGCCAATGACGGATGAGGTGGTCGTGCCTGGGACGAAGGGGTGACTTCGACGATGAAGGAGATGGCGAGCCCCAGGGCGGAGGGAGTGGTGGTTCTAAAGCAGAGGATAAACCTGGGACGGAGGGAATGGCCTCGATGACAAAGGAGTTGGCAAGCCCCAAGGTGGAAGAGGTGATAGAGGAGGAGAGGACGTCGGTCGTGGCGGAGGGTAAGAAGCGTGCTGTTGACGTACCGGAGGTGGTGGTCGGCAAGAGGCTGAGATTACCGTCACTATATGTCGTTTTTCCCTTCAGCCTGAGTCGAAGAGGAGGACATTCATCGACAGGATGTACCCCAATCACTTCCGAGAGGTGGACCATGCCAAGTGGAAGGCATTCGAGACAAAGTGGCGAAGAATAATGCTAGGGTAAGTATTTTATGATTTTAGTGAAATACACTACGCTAACTCATCTATACTTCTTTTTACAGTTTTTATGTTTCTTTTTTCAGAGCTAGCCAAAGGATAGGTGACACAACAATCACCTATGCCAATAAGTGGTTTCATGATATTACGACTTCGGTTGCCTGGCTAGTCGACGATGTAAGTGTAATACCGCAATTGTTATTTATTATGTGTACATTTTTTTGTTTATTAAATGAAATAAGTCCCTCTATTTTTTATTGACGTTTTCTGATGTAGCACATCGACATAGCTATGGACTTATTGCGCGATCGACCTCAACTATATCCGAGATCATTCGACATTCCTAGCCGAATCATATTGAGCACCGAGTTTCTACGTGCCATTACTATTGAGTATCAGTCGCTCCAACTTATGGGTAACGAGTACACGGTATCCGTATATGTGCTTAGTGGGTCATAGGGATGTGGCTGAGTGTCATGGGGAAATAATTCCTTTGAAGGCTAGACAAGCGGGGTGATTATAAAAGACAGACTAGCCATCGTGCGAGACACACCGACGATGAGATAGTCGAAATCGTAAGTACTTATTTTTTTTTAATTTGAACAATTAGTTTTTCGCTATAAAGTACCGACGAACTAACACATTATTATTTATTTACAGTGGTGATTGTAGCATATTTGCAATAAACTATATCGATTTTTTTAGTATAACACATAAGGTTGATGGAATCAACAAATCCTGAATACAAGATTGGAGGAATAAGTTAGCGTACGATTTGTATGAATTCAATTATGATTCGTGAATAATGTTTATTTATTTGTCAAATAATTGTAAATAATGTAAACAAATTGTAAATATCGAAATTTAATTAGTTATTTATTTATCAAATAATTGTAAATATTGTAAACAAATTGTCAATATCGAAAATTTAATTGTTTATTTATTTGTAAAATAATTGTAAATATTGTAAACAAATTGTAAATATCGAAATTTTATTGTTTATTCATTTGTCAAATTATAGATATTGTAAATTTTTTTTTTTGCACTCAAGTCCTTTAACAATTTGCACTTAATATCCCTCAACTTTGATACTGTACAATTTAGTCCTCAAATTTTGACTTTCATATCAATCGTGCCTTCTAAAAATTGCAACCCAGGTCCTTATACTTTTTGACTTGTTGACTTTGGTACCCGAATTCACAATTTTACACAAATTTGGTCATTTTCTCCTCATTTTTTGCTTTGTTCTATTTCCTTGGGTGATTTTTACCTGTAAAAGTAATAATTACATAATTGTGATTAGAAATTCGCTCACTTAATCAATATTTAAGCTTATTTAGGTATTAAATAAGTGTACAAAAATAAAAATAGTAAATATTTAATATTTAATTGTTTATTTGTGAAATAATTGTAAATACTGTACACAAATTGTAAATATTGTTCAATTATTAGCGAAACCTTTACACATCGGTCTAATTGTCATCGAGAGAAATTTGACTTGTACAAAATTGGCAAGTATGCCATGTTGCTTTGTATCTACCGTACATACGTAGTCGAGGAAACTCTCCGGTAGATGGTATTTTAGATGTACATGGACGTTCAGGTCCACGTGATTCAATTTCAGGTGACAACAAACTATTAAATGAGAGAATATGGTTAAAAACTCGCCACTCGGCTTCATTCGGTATAGGAAATATAGTCTCAACGTATGCTGCTATCCAATAATCAGCTGTGTAATAAGGAGAGCATAAGGCTTTCGCTGCAAGGCCTCTAAACACAGCCACTAAGACTGCATGCTCACATGAAAAACTCTTTAAGCAAAATCGACAGGTCTAGGTGTTATCAGTTAAGTCCACTATGTATGCGATATTACGTGGACATTTGACAGAGAAGTGCAACCCATCCAATGGTTCCACGTTCAACTTTCTCGCAATCTCTACAGCCCTGGGGAGTTTTTCTTCCTGATTCGGGGCTAGCACGATCGTGTAACACTGTGATTCCACTACAACAGCTTGTTACAAATGTTCTCAATCATTGCGAGGATAGGTAACTCTCAATCCTTCTTGAAATGCATTGAGAGACTCCGCATATTGTATCGATGTCCTAGAAAATGTGATCTTGCCCAATGTTCAATTCCCATTTTCGTTAGATACTCCAATGCCAGGAATGATTTACTCCCTATTTTCACCATAAATATATTGCATTCTTCGACACTATAAACTTCGGCCGCTCCAGTTGAAGCGCTTGATTCCCATTTTATGATGTGAATCATAACCAAATGCCCCACCCGTGCGTGAACCTGCGAAGACAGGCAAAGGTTCCAGGACGGTTTCAACAGCATCGTCGCGCTTGATATGGCG